TCTTTTATATTCGAACTGGAATTAAGACTAGATGTTGAACTGTCCTTTCCGTGTTGATACTTGTTATTAAATTCAGTTATGCGTGTATTCTCATGTAAACTTACCTCAGAAGTATTGGTTTCCAGTTTGTTTGATAACTCATAGATTGTAATGTACTCTGGACCTAAAACTGTCACATGTTTTTTACGTTTATCATTGAGACGAATCGGTCCAGGATTCTCTTGGTTCAACTTTCTATTACATAACACAGTATTTCTGTGTGCTTGAAAGTTGGATATATTTTCATTCTTCCTTTGAAGAGGTTTTGTTATCGCCCTACTTTTGATGACTTTCGTTAGTGGGAGTGAATCCAAATTATTATTTCTTATATAAACGGCTACAGGTGAAGACGAAATTGATGAGGATGGCTGGAAAATCATTCCACGTAAAACGCCTATGTTGTTGATTACGTTATCTTGGTTGGAATCCTTCCATTGGAAAATGAAGTTTATACATTTGTTTACAATGTCGATTTGTCATTCAACCGTTTAATTTTTATTGATATTTAAAGGAAATAATTAGATAAAGGTTTTTGGCATTGTGTATGTAATTACTAAAAAATTTACCAACTGTGTATTTTCAAACCTCACTTTCTACGGACATCGAATTTATAGTTGCTGACGAGAAAACCTAATTAAGTAGATTTTAAGGAAAGTCATATTCTTCAATGTTATATTAAAAAAAATTAAATTGCTGTCAGATTTTTAAAGTTAGATGAAGCTTTTCAGCGTACATTTTTTCGGCTTTTACTTGTAAATTATTTAAAACCCTACAAATTCAGGCCATCCACAGTAAATTAATATCACTTGGGACATAACAGGCGGTTAGTAGAATTCTTTAGTTACTACGAAAAGTGTATCATTTGTCTTCAAACTTTAAATGGCGTTTCACTTAAACGGTATTTTGTAGTATATCCCTCCTTGGAAAAATATCTAGTTTTTAAGAGTCAAATAATTTAATGAGAAAAACTAAAACCCTATTTATGCCAAATATCTATGTTGTTTTAAAAATGAAAGAGCTAATGAAAGCTAATGTTATTATTAATAAAATCTTAATTTAAAAAATTGTTTATTTCAACATCATACAGTTTTTTTGATTTTTAAAAGATTAATGACTAGGCAATTAACCTACTAACTGGAAATAAACGGAGAAATCTTTCAAGTTAATGTCACACCATTGATAGTTATCGGTTAGAAAACCGGCATAGAGTGAGCTTAAAAATATACGGTAAGTACATACCAAGACTCTGAATTGGTTAATTTGGGCAGAAATGAATGATATCTTTTGACGTCAGCTCAAAATATATAAAACAATAGTATTAACTAGAAAACAGTATACTTGGTTTTTGTAATTATCAATTGTTTTTAATTATAGTAAATTATGCTTAAATAAACACTGACTTCAAACCTAGGATTATTTTAAACAAATGAAAATTAATTATTTCAGCGATTGCAATAAAGTCAGGTATATTAAATCAGTCAGTAAATTTTATGCCATTTTATATTATTCTAATTTATCATATATGTAGACCACCACTAGTTTTAATCTTTTTTTTCTGATCCATGATTAAATAATTTAATCATCACTCTACATGAGAACAACAAACATTGAACAGTTAAAAATGTTTTGTCTCCGAAGACACTTTAGATTAATTATAAATAGTATTTCGATAAAACCGCGTAAACTATTTAAAACCTTTAGGTACATTATTAAGTGATCAGTTTGTGATAAATTCTATGAACCACTATACACCTCATATGACATCATCAGTCGTGGGTTACTGAATTCCGTTTTTACACTGCGATAGGTAAAACCTTTAAATGGCTAGAAACAGGATTTATTAAAATAGAATCCACTACGGTTTTCGTTAATCAACGGTGAATGTTTAAAATAAAATTTGACAGATACCAGAGAAGTGCTCTGGTTTCTAATTACTAATATTTTGATTTGTACGTTTATAGAAAATAAGGTTTCGTAAAGAAAAGACTCTAAATCAAGATATATATAATAATGGATTGGTGTTTAAATTTAAGTTAACAGAAACAAACATAAAGAATCTGAACCTTCATATAAGAGCTGAATTTTAAAATTAAAGATAATAAACTACGTATTAACTATATTTCTAAACTTTTCGTATAACCAATAAGAAAATGAAAAAGGTTCTATGGTAGTATTATCAGAATCATATTCGCAAGTATCCAATATTTAGGTTTAATCACAACAAACCTATATTACATATCATTGCAGAATCGTTAAATGTTGTCTGCTCTCTGAAACTTTGAAGCCATAGTTGCTTTATGGGAATGTATGTGACCAAGTTCACTATCAAAGGATTCCCAGCGAAATGTCTCATAAATACTTCCTGTCACTCAGAATCTCAGAAAACAGAATAACAAGTCTACTCGATAGGTATTTATGACTTCGTGGTGTTTCGTGGATTATTACATCCCGACTTCAAATATCTACGCAAAAACCCACTTGTGATTAGGACGTTTTGTCGAAACCTACGGGAATTGTGAAGATAAAGAAACTAAATAACGATCTTCTGGTGAATTACTGTTTAGTTTAGTTGATAGAGACATGTCACGTATACTTCCGAAACATAGCTAACTAATCACTGAGAATTTACCAGATCTTGCTTTCAAGCTTCCATGTATGGAACTTAACCTCTTTAACTAACAAATATCATTCTGGAATCGATTTCATTTAAGTCTAATCGAATCTTCTTTTAATTATTTAATTTGCTATACTTACAATAAGAATGTGGTATACAGTCTTTGTCTAAGGTAACCACAAATAAGTTGCGGCAAACTAAATATATGTGTATCGGTTTAGTAATCCACTGACGAATATTTATTTTTTTACGGGCAAAAATATTTAAAAGATTTACATTCCTAATTTATCGAGATCACAATATTTATATTTACTGAAATTAAAGATACACAAGAAAATGTAATCACGTTAGCCTTTCATTTTCCATAACAATACTCCTAGTTGTACCTGCGCTTCCCGAAAACATTAAATCTCACGTCCAGGATATTGTTGTACGCATAGATGAATCAATATAAAGATAGGTTTGAAAATCACTTGTGATTTTTGGAAGAATTTTACCAACTAGCAACGTAAAGGCAGTCCATACTTTTGCAAACTACATATATTATTTAGGGGCATTGAGAGTACAATAATTTGGTAGTTGTTGAAGCTTTTTCCTTGAGTCTCATTACAGAAAACAAGTTTTACTTATTTGATAGTTCAGCATTAATGACAACTTTACTGCCTATTTCATATATAAGTATTTTGTCAAATAAAAGATCTATATCTCCTGCAAATCACATATTTTTCAGGGATGAGATGATAGATAAAATGATGTTATGGCTATTCAGCTCTGATTTGGCGAGTTGAAAAACCAGTCAACTAACAGTATCATTATTTTGCAATTTTAAAAGAATTCGTAATTTGAAGATTTAATTGCATTGATCTAATTCCAATACCGACAAGTATTTGGTTTGTAATTCACATCAGTTACAAGTTGATATACATCAAAAAGCTTAGCTTGGATTTAAAAGCGCAATTTTGTATTTAAAACAAGGCAAGAAGTCGATAAAAACGTCGTTACATTTTTTTATTATTCTAATCAATAAATATTACCTTAACCACGTTGCTGAGCATAGACAATTATGGTCAATGGCCACTGCCAACAGACATCAAGATAGTATCTTAATAAAAGTCTGAACTTCTAAAAAAGGAAGTTTTCTGAATTGCACATAATAAATAAGTACCAAAATCTTCTAATGATGTTTGATGCCGGCAACTTAGCAACAAAAACATTTAGAGAAATGATAAAATAAGGAAATGAAAACTGAGGAAAGTCACAAAATAAATTTATGTACTCAAGTAATTCGTCAGCATCCAGCTCTTAACTCAGATTGTCAATGCAAACACTTCAAGGCACATTTAGTTTATAGAAACACTTCGAAATATTCTACCACTTTTAAAATGAGCTTAGTATTACCAAACCACCGAGTAAAAGAGTTTCATTTCGCTTTATAAATATGGTGAAATTAAAAGCTTCAGTTCATTTATACAATATCGATCTTAATCGGTAAAATTAAATGCAGAATGCTATGCATATTAAAACATTGATGAGTAGCTAATATAATATGTTCTCGATCTAAAACTATGATAACTGGGCACTAAGATGATGGATTATTTATAAATATATACACAAAGTACCACGCATAACCTGATGAGTAAAAAGTAAATAAACCACTTACTACTACTGAGTTAATTCAGGCATATCGATAGGTACTTTTATTCAAGTAACTTGAGTGTTTATAAGACCCCCCCCCAAAAAAAGACAGATTTCGAAAAGTCGAATGTCAAAACTTCAAAGTGAACTAGCGAGTTCCAAACGTTTTGAAAACGGTACTCATCATTAATGAAATTCGTTCACTCTACAATTTGGACTAAGCAAGTTTTAAAACAAAAGTGGAATGAAAACCGAAAAAACCACCTCTGGCTTTAAAATGCACGAGATAAGTATGACTTGTCTGAAAATGTTTCTTTTCAAGTGTGTAGCTTTTGAGCGTTTTTCAAGTTCGTTGTCATTTGGATATAAGGAGAAAAAAATTGTGCTTAAGATAAACTTATAACATTCTAGATATGTTCATAATATGGCCGTAAGTTTGATTCCAATATCCCAACTTTTGCTACTTTCATCTAATCAAGGCGTTATGGTTCCAAAAATAAAGTCACAGTTCACTCATTTCAGCACATTTTCTCTTTTTTAATTAGAATTCCATGAAATCCTATTTGAATGACATTTTAGAACATCAGACTTTCTTACAAGGCTATTTCGCCTAAAATTTTCCATCATATACCCATAGATTTATATATACCACGGCTAAGTCTTGCAAGTTACAAAATATAATGGTATATTTCGACCAAAAAATCCAACTTACGTTGCATGGATCTGCTGGACGTTCTTCTGTTGCCGGACAAACAGGTTGACTGTTATTTCCATTTTTAATGATATTTTCAGATATACCATTTGATATTTTGCTTGGCTTTAAGCTCTGAGAATCTTCAGTTCCAGAAAATAGCTTAAGATTCTTTTCAACTGCTCGAAATGCTGCTTGAAAGCTCTTGGACTGTCTTTCATTCTTGGGCTGAGAAACGGAAGAAATAGTTTCAACGTTACTGTAGTTGTCTAAACCGTTAGCTATAGACTTATTATCTAAACCACATGCTTCTGAGGTCTTCTCAAGGTTACTATCATTTGCACAATTATTTGCGTTATTTTCCTTTTCTTCTCTGCATTGCATAGCCTTTTCTCTGGCAAAGCTATGTATTCTCGACAATTTTCTCTGTGTATTTGTTTGCTTTCCAGAGAATAATTGCTCCATTTCACCCATAACACTGTCCAAAATAGTATAGTTTATCTGTCGCTTATGGTAAGGTAAATTACTCATTTTTTCATTTGCCTTATGATGTGAATTATTTTCGCCCAGAATGGTTTTCTCTGAGTTCTCTGTATGAGTTTGACCAACTACTATGTTCTTGGATGTCACACCAAGCTCGTTTGTTGATACATTAGGAAAGTCCATATCAGCAGTCGTGGATTTAATTGGTTCCCTACTGTCTGTGGGAAAGGTATTCACTTTCTTGGAAGAGATGTTCCCAGGCAATTCCAAACCTTTGATGTACAAATTTGTTGCAGCGGGCAAGTTAAATTTACTTTTATTCATGAGTGGATTACTTTTTTCAGTACACACTGTGCTCCTATGTGGCACTGCTCTAACTGCAGTAAATATCTCTGTGTCGTCCTTATCATTCAAATCTTGATGTGATTTCTCAGGTTTTACGAGAGACAACGAACTGTCTTCTGTCCCAGAGTAGCTACTATTTTCACTTTGAAGATGATTTCTTCTTACTTGTGAAAAGTTTCTTTCAGACTGAATATTGTGAAAAGATTGCGAAGTAAAGGATAGAGATGATGACGTTACGGACGTAGATATAGGTTTGGTGGTTTTTGAATCGTTTACGATTTCCGACGGGGTTGTATGACAAGAGTCTCCATCAAAGTGTGAAGAACAGGGACAAACTGAATTGCTGCGAACAGGTTCCGTGACAGCTTGCGTTGTATCACCTGTGGTGCTTTTTTTACGAGCTATACTTTCTGAAGGTCTATTAGACATTTTAAACGTTGAAGAAACTTTATTCTTATCACCTTCACCATCCTTTCTCCACGAATCGTAAGCTGAATTGATATTTGATGCATTCTTCGATTTTATTGTTGTATGGTTAGGATAATTGTCGCTGAGTCTTGCGAATGGGTCGGCAATTGTATGGTTTCTTGTGTTTATCCTAATAGTCGTATTTTTGTGACCTGGATTTTCAGAACATGCCTGGTTATTGAACAGAGTATACCCACCTTGTAAGCTTCTGTTTTTTGTCTTTTCACTAGGAGGATTTTCTGATTTTTGAGAAAAGGAATGTTCATCAGCATTATATACGTATTGACTTGATCGCTTGCTGCCTTGGTACCCTCTAGGTATCATAAAATTAACAAGAGAATCCTTGCTTAACTCACTTTTTGATGGCTTAGGTAATATCGCTGGTTGCTTAAAATCCGTTCGTGTGCTGTTCTTTGTAGATGAGGATGCTTTTGATTCTTTTGGTTTATTTTTATTTTCGTTGGAATTCAGCAAATCGTGGTTTATTGGACGACCTTCATCTCGATCAACGCTTGATATGTTAGATGGTAAACCGTTGTATCTGCTTGTATTCTCAATTCGATGTCCACTTATTGCAGTTTGTGTTCTGTATTCATTAGGGTGAACTGGTGCAGTACTTTTGCCACCCTCTCCCACGCTAACCTGAGACGCAAAACTCTCCCTACTTGGCTTAAGAGTGTCTAAAAAACTTTCAGCTCGAGGTCGTTCATTTACTTTATAAACTGTTAAACTAGTAGGAGGAGGCAAGTCAGAAACTCTACCAGTAGATTGGATTCTCCTATTGGGATAAGTATTGTGTCTCTGAATTCCATTGTCTCTGTGTAGAAGGTTTTGATAAGCACACGTAAGGCGGGCTGTAGCTGAATGGTGCTTGACTCCAGACTGTATATTTCTAGACAGTTCGTTCATTGAAATTTCGCTTTGAAATTTCTCTCTGACTTGTTTGACTAGTCCAGGTGTAATCCCGTATGGTGTGAATAGTTCGCATGAGGATGTAATATTCTGTGAGTCTGAAGGTTTGAGCATTATTCAGCAAGAAGTGGTCAATAAAACTTTCGAATTTCCCAATGTATTTAGGATTAAATAGAAGAATATCCAGAGTGTCCAGCAACTGACTTCATAAGTTTACAATTACATTCGTCGAAATTTGACGACAAAACAATCAAAAATCGTCAAAGAACTATACTGAAAAACTATACTCAATGATAATCAATGGATGTCATACTGAACTTGGTCACAGCGATAAAGTGTCATAACTGCAAAATCAGCGCTTTTCCATATGGAGAGTTCAAAGTTAATCGATGCATTAAAAAACCATACGAAAAATGGCTCCACAATTATTATACATAATATTCATTGTAAATATCCATTGAATAGAATGACACTCGATCAAGACGTCAAAGAAAGGCGATCTCAATAAGTGTGATAGCTACAGAGGCATCACTGTCCTTTCAATACCAGGAAAAGTCTTCAACAGTGTGTTGTTAAACAGAATGAAGGATTCGTAGACGCCCAACCTCGAAGCCAACAGACTGAATTCTGTAAAAGTCGATCGTGTACAGGCCAAATAGCAACACTATGGGTCATTATGGAACAATCAATTGAATGGAATTCATCACTCTACATCAACTTAATTGACTACCAAAAAGCATTTGATAGCGTGAACAGAACAATACTATGGAAGCTCCTTCGATACTTCCGCGTGCCTCAGAAGATAGTCAATATCATACGGAATTTCTATGATAGATTAAACTGCAAAACTGGAGGACAGTTGACAGACTCGTTCGAGGTAAGGACCGGTGTCAGGCAAGGTTGCTTACTCTCACCCTGTCCCTTTGTCCTGGTGATCGACTAGATCATGAAGATATCAACATCTGAAGGGGAGCGCGGGATACAGCGGAAATCTAGGATGCAGATGGACGATCTAGACTTTGCAGATGATCTGGCCCTCCTATCGCAAACGCAACAACAAATGCAAGAGAAAACGACCAGTGTAGAAGCAGCCTCAGCAGTAGTAGGTCTCAATATACACAAAGGGAAAAGCAGGATTCTCCGATACAACACAGAATGCACCAATCCAATCAAAATTGACGGAGACGATTTGGAAGATGCAAAAACCTTTACATATTTAAGCAGCATCATTGATGAACAGGGTGGATCTGATGCAGATGTGAAGGCGTGGATCGGCAAAGCAAGAGCAGCATATATACAGCTGAGGAACATCTGGAACTCAAACCAACTGTCTATCAACCAACACCAAGGTCAGGATTTTCAATACAAATGTCAAGACAGTTCTACTGTATGGGGCGGAAACCTGGAGAACTACGAAAGTCATCATCCAGAAGATACAAGTGTTTATTAACAGTTGTCTACGCAAAATACTTCGGGTCTGTTGGCCAGACGCTATCAGCAACAACCTACTGTGGGAGAAAACAAACCAGATTTCAGCAGAGGGAGACATCAGGAGGAAGAGCTGGAAGTGGGTAGGACACACATTGAGGAAAGCACCCAACTGCGTCACAAGACAAGCCCTCACATGGAATCCTGAAGGTCAAAGGAAAAGAGGAAGACCAAAGAACACATTACGCCGAGAAATGGAGATAGACATGAGAAAAATGAACAAGAATCGGATGGAACTAGGAAAGAAGGCCCAGGACAGAGTGGGTTTGAGAATGCTGGTCAGCGGCCTATGCTCCATTGGGTGTAACAGGCGTAAGTAAGTAACGGGATACAATGGACATCTAGGATGCAGATGGACGATCTAGACTTTGCAGATGATCTGGCCCTCTTATCGCGATTGCAACAACAAATGCAGGAGAAAACGACCAGTGTGGAAGCAGCCTCAACAGCAGTAGGTTTCAACGTAAACAAAGGGAAAAGCAGGATTCTCCGATACAACACAGAATGCACCAATCCAATCAAAATTGACGGAGACGATTTGGAAGATGTAAAAACCTGTACATACCTAGGCAGCATCATTGATGAGCACAGTGGATCTGAAGCAGATGTGAAGGCGCGGATCGGCAAAGCAAGAGCAGCACATCTACAATTGAAGAAAATCTGGAACTCAAAACAATTAGCAGGCAACACCAAGGTCAGCATTTTCGATATAAATGTCAAGACAGTTCTACTGTATGGAGCAGAAAATTGGAGAACTACGAAAGCCCTCATCCAGAAGATACAAGTATTTATTAACGGTTGACTATGCAAAATACTTCGGATCCGTTGCTCGGACAATATCAGCAACAACCTACTGTGAGAGAAAACAAACCAGATCCCAGCGAAGGGAGAAATGAAGAAGGAGAACATATTTCATGGCTTCACTTTCCTATTAATTCATTCGTTACCTCAGTTATGAGCTTTCAACTCTGGAATTAAATGTACTGTATTTCATTCGTCTGTTTTCTCCTCAGATAGCTGGTATAAAACCGTTGTACCACCAAACTCTTTAAAATACTTATCTACATTGTTAGTGTCCATGGTTTCACCTGTCTGTTGTGGCATAGATCCCCAACTGCACGATCATAAATTCCGAGCACATAACTACTGGAAATATCTATATTCAACATATAACACCAGGAGAAGGTAAACAACAAGGAACGTGGGAACAACTGATCGATATTTCAAGGCTCAGCCCCTCATGTGTGGTCATCATTGTAACAAACGCTTATTTACATTGAAATAAACTATTCTATCCCCAGCGCAAATATGTTCTTCAGAAGTGGTAAACGTCGTTGTGATGATTGTCATGTTACGACGAGCCAGAGTTTTATTATTATTCACAAACATCTTACGGGTACATAAACACTGCGAATAGACAAGTTGTGACTTTCACGTAAGATCTTATGGATTAGTTAGTCGGGTCATGACAAATCTACAATATTGAGGTTAGGTCTATTATTATAGTAACGAAGACCAATGTACTAAATCGATCCAGAATACAATTCTACAAGTCTTTTTGTCAGTTTCCATCACCAAACCAAATGATGATTGAACGTGAAGTTTTTCTGCTCCTATTTGCTCCAAGAGTTAGGAGAATAGATGTGTTCATCAACCTAAAACATGAAACAAAACTAAGAAATCCAGTACTATGAAGTCAACCCGCATTTTTATGTCGTTAATATAATAATTAACTGTCATGATAAAATGTCAGTGAAACACTCTATCTTCGTTACAGATAAATAGTTTTTGCCTCATTCACTGCATCAATTGACTTCCACATATCTTTATAATAGACTTTTGATTACCCTGAAAATCCTCGAGGGCTACAAATTTAGTAAAATAGTTCATCTGTTACTATACGACTGGGAGTCCTTTGAATATGGATAACCTGAGTATATTTTATTAACAAGTATCCAAGACTTTTATTTACCAAGTACCCGTGTTGTGATTTGGAGGAAAAGTTCTCAGATATATTGAATATTTGAACCAGCGTAGTTCTTTCCCCAGAAGTTTCTGGCATTCTGAAAACTTATTCAGTACTTATTCAAATACAAACAGATGTATCTGTTACATATGGCAGACAGTGACAAGAGATAAACATTTGATTATTCTTAAAGCGATTTAAATTTCGGAAACTGCAGATAGGAAGTCGCACTTACAAGTAATTTATGTCATTCTATACACCTATATATACATATATATATATATATATATATATATATTCGACCTGATAACTTCATCTTTCTATAACAATGGGTATGGTTCTACGTTGTGACTGACTGACTGGTATTTGTTAACGGATACTTGATGTTAAAAATATGGCTCGGGAGCATTGTCGCCCAGTGTAGTAATCTGCTAGTCATATAGGCAAGAATTCCTTTCTTAGAGGCAAAAATAGGAATCAAATTTTTGTTGTCTGCCAGTACAATAAACTTACAGCTGTAGAGTATTTTACGCGATGCTGTCTTTGGCATCAACGTGAGAAAAACACTGACAAATACGTGACAAGATACACGATATTTTAACATGAAAAATAATAATATGCCTATTAAATGAATTTCAGATAGCCCATAACTTCCGATCAAACTAAAGTTAATCAAATATATACAAGCTCAAAGTAGTATATGCAAAATCCAACCAGTCATGATCAAATGTACAAAATCTAATAGCATATTTGGACATTGTAGGCGAAAGAATGTAGGTCTAAATCAGGATTTTAGAATCTAATTAGATTCAACATGTATTTACTCAAATTTTCTTCACCCCCTAACTATGGCCTTGATGTACAAATGAACTACTTCAAGCTAAATGACAAATCAATTATTAAACGTAGTCTTAACAGCAGAATCCAACTTACTTTTGGGTATGCATTATCGCTGGAGCGTTGTTAGTACTTGTATTCTCAAGAATGTTTTATTGCAAATTCTACACCCACCACCAAAACGTTCCTAAAACTACCACTGCGGTAATGTACATTATGTTAGTCCATAATGTTTTAATTTGGCAGAGCCTGTATGATTTGAAGACGCCACAAATATTCGCAGTAACACCTTCTGTATTCGAAACGTGCCAACTCAGGGAAAGTGTAAGTTAGAAGCGAAGAGGTTTGAAGATATATTTGATAGGCCATTGATATACTAAGAAATGATCATTCTAAGCTCATTAAAGGTTGTAGGAAACGTGAAACACGGCGTCCTCACTCGTGACCTGGAGAGGATGCTTTATCGAGCGCCTACAGCTAGGCGAATCCATTAAAACTAATGTGGTCAGAATCAAATGTCGAAGACTTATAGAGCTATTGATTTTGAAGATTTGCATACCGCTACAGATCACCCTAAGACGTGACCCGTCAGAATTTTAAACCCAACGATTTTGTCGTTGGTAAGCACTCTTCCCGATAGCTTGCCATGTTCAGCACCGTCTGGTCGTAGTTCCTTACTATTAGAGGACATATGGTGCACTAAAGTAATCAAGATACAATGAAAACTCTGGTTCATCGTAAACTTCGTCGTCTTCTTAGTCTCTTCCAGCCGTTTTGAGGAAAAAAGGATATGTAAGTGCATGTCGAATCACAGTCGTACGTG